CTGCAGGGCAACACCGATACTAAAGAGCGTGTCCCTTAACGCTCCTTCGGGATTGATCTTCATTAGTTACCCATTCGATGATACTATTCAGCATGAAGACCAAGCGCAACTTAGATCTCATACTAGCAAGTAAGGGATGCTCAACGATACATCTTCATCGGTACATTGCTAGCAAGAACCACTCGTCCAAAGTCGGCAAGTCTACACATGAGCCATCTATGGCTAGCATCCTCCCCTTCAGCTGCGATTACCCGTGCTTGGCTTTCGACGTACTGCCGACCTGTCTCGAAGTCCGAAACTTCGTTCCTGGGGAYGCACATGCGAACTCACGAGCGGGACATCAACAACATTGGATTTTCCCTCTGTCTCGCTCCCCCTCCTTTCTCCATCCCCTCTCTTTGACCTTCTCTTCTCGTCTTGCTAGTATCACACGCACCACGTACACTTGTCCATAATCGTCTTCATGCTAGGGAAGAAGGATGACTTTCAACCAACTCAGAGCGGAAGCTCGAGGCTTCGTGAATATGAAAATCTCGCTGCTCCGGCCAGGCCACGTTGACGTCAACTGGAACTACTATACGCTTCGCTTCGGTCTCTCCCACTCTCTCTCACATGCCTTCTCCCCCGACCCCTCGCCACGACATGAAGACTCGCCGCAGCTCAGCAGACACAAAATGCCGTGCGCGAGCGTGGAATCAGCGGACGACGTCAACTGTACCTAGCAAGCTCGTGCCCTGCCCATTCGCGCAGTCTCCCCTTTCGTTGACCTCTTCTCGCTCCCCCGGACTGCCACGCGTAACCTGTGTACCGCGTATCCCCCTCTGTACTTCCCTTCTCTCGTGTAACTGCCTCGCAGTCTCAGTCCCTCCGCTGAGTCGAACTGGCCTCAAGGCCATCCTCTACAGACTCTGCTGGCGGGTGCTCTCTCCTCCATTGTTCCAGCCCATGCCAAGACTGGGTCTGCGCATCGCTCGCTTCGGACTCGGCCTCTGAGTCCTGGTCCAGCTCCTGCTGCTCTCGCTCAGTAGTACTTGTGGTAGTCTCTTCCTCGTGGTAAGTGACCATGACCTTCAGGGTCGCGGTCACTCCGTCCCTTCTGCACCTCCGCTCGGCTCGATCCCGAGCCTCAGTAACCACGCCCAGGACTTTCTTGTCCTCCCTCATTTCTTGCTCCTTCCCCCTGTAGACGTTGATCTTTAGTCTGGCCTTCAGGCAGTCATCCACCGTAGCCCCTTCTTCGCGCATCGGCTCCCAGCTCCAGTGGAATCTTAGATGGCCTGGCCTATAGCCAAAGAGGCCGTTGCTACTCGCCATAGCCAGGCAGCACAGCAGACCCTACACAGCGCTAATCTGCCTGCCCAGAATAGTAAGTCACCCACTAGAATGCGCACAGTAGACTACTCACAGGACCTGCAAGGCGCTAGAAAAGCGGCTAGCAATCTCAGACTGAAGAGGGCACACCTCACGCAGACCGTGCAACTCCACCCCTTTCTTCTCTTTATAGCCCAAGATCCCTGTTTTCTAAATACGAGATAACTCTCAAAGTTCTATATTCTAACAATCTATAATTCGTAAATCAACAAAATAAAATTAAATTAGGATAAATAGAGAGGAGTGGCGCAAAGCAAAACACCAATGGTCACAGTGCCTGTTCCAATTTTCAGCCACTGGTCGTTTCGTTTTAATCGCGAAATGACCACAGGTCCGAAGCCGTGGTCCCATAACAAGATACCGCCAGCACTTTCTCCCCTTCAAAAGGCGCCCTCAGAGTACCCCTGGTGGGTACCCGTGTCCGATGGCAAGGAGGGGGTTTATGACCCTCCATTAGGGGGGTGATAAGCTTCCTACCGATGCGGCCGCTGGTCGCCCCTCTTTTGGGGTCCCACCACGCGGCGTTCAACCAGACAGTCCATCCACAGACGATATACAAGAAGGGGAGTCGGCCAGCTTAGACCATAGACCACAGTTCGGGTTCAAAATTTGAACCGTTGGCCTCCCCGCGATATGACAGGCCGAAAAGGAAACCGAGTCTGACAATCGTATGAAAAGGGAAATCAAGTAATAATACCAATAATAATAATAATAACAATAATAAGGAAAATAATGAAAACGTAACGACAGTGTGACTAGAGGCCGTCAGATTTCCCCGAATTAAGGCTGACAGTTCAGTCGCGCAGACTAGACCTCTAGCTTTCTTTTCATTTTCCTTTTTACATTTCATTTTCTTTCTTTTTTCCTTTGCTTAACCTCCTTTTTCTCTGACAGCGACCACCGCTCCAAGCACCTAACCCATAACTTGGCAATGGGGCGCTCGGCGCGCAGTAGAAAAGACCGCACAGGTCTTTCCACTTTCGCGTCCCAGGGCGAACCCGACGGTTACCATGGCCACAGGCCGGTAGTGCTCTGCTGTACAGCAGGGCGCCGAGCCTGTGTGGACCAAAGGAAAGTCATGTGGTGCACCCTCCCTTTTGCTGAGGAAGGCACCAACAGGACCGGTCCACTTCAAAGTATTGTCCGGGTACTAGGGATCATAGAGGTTCGGGAACACGACTACAGGCTGAGATGTCAAGGCAGGAGGTTGATACCAAGTAGGGACTTGGTACGGAGAGGGGGGCCGGGACACCGCGCCCTCCAACATCATACCAAACCCCCACCCAGCGTCCCCGCTGGGTCGAATCAAGGCAACGAGTAGTATAAAGGAAAGACAAACATCAGCACTCTCTCATTCATTCTCACTGCTAATTACAGTGAAGTTCTTGAGGCGCAAACCTGCGTTAACACTTTCTTTCCCGCAACGCACTTCCCCCTTTTATTTTATGAATAACAGATTTGTGCGATCTATAGTCGGCCCCCTCTTTCATTCGTAGCTACATACCTCTCTCTCTCTCGTAGTGCTTCTTTCGTCTAGATCTCCATCTCCACGCGTCTCCTCTTCTTTCTCAACTCCTCTTGCATTATGCCTGAGGCACGTAGGGGACAGGGTAGAGGAAGAGGAGGAAGGGCAGGGAAGGCCCGTGAAGAGCCGCCGCCTCGTGCAAGGCGCGAATATAGTTTGGAGGAGGGAGGAGGAAGATTCACGAGGTTATGGCTCACACACTAGACCCTACTTACGCTATCTCCCTCCAAGTTGGTATGAGAGGACGCCATCCCCAGAGAAGATGGAGTATTTCCGAAAAAAGTTTGAGGCGCGCTACGGCGCACCCAATACTTCTTCTCCTCCGTATACCCCCAGGGCCTCTTCCACTCCCGTGATGAGTAGGGCACTTGTGCCAGCACCTCTTTCCCCTACTCCTTGCACTGTCTCTCCACAACCATCTCTCAGCAGTTGCACTCTTTTTTGGAATCTTCTTTCTCCTTTCTTTACTTTAGATTGAGTTCATGGCAATCTTCTATATCTTGTATAAACGCAACTTTTTCTCAACCTTCTGAGTCTGATCTCTTTTCAATCTTTCAGTCCACGCCTCACTTCATAGTGTCCCTAGCTTGAGAGTTTGAACACCTTGAGGCCGGGGATGCAGGTTCCTCGTGAACCAGGCCGCTTGTCGGCTACCAAATGAATTCAAGAAGGATTATGTTTCTATTTTCTCGTTTGCTGCCGGTTTTAACCCCCTTGTTATCTTGAGATCTGTTCTCAATCTGAACTTTCACCTTGGCTGAAAAATCGCAACATTGTCAGTCTGATACCAATGCTCGGGACACTTGTCCAGTCTGCCACGCTGGGAGTAGGGCATACCAAACCCTTTTTCTGTTCTCTGGCCTGTGCGAGATATCTTCTCAACTTCTCAGGTAACTCAGGGGATACCAAACCTTGTCTTCTTTCTCGTGTCTGAGTGAGGCGTCTCCTCAACTTCTCAGATAGAAGGAAGGGGATACCAAACCCCTTTCTCGTTTCTCTAGTCTGGGAACTTCAGATAAGTCTTTATATACCTGCAAACAGCGAGTCCCACAAACAACAGACTATGCCCCAGCAAACAGATCCGTCAATAATTATCAGCCAAGCAACAAGTAAACAAAATAAAACCCAAAATAAAATAAAATAATAAAATAATAAAATAATAAACACAGCAAGACAACTCTTCACACCCAAGAGTTATTGATTGCCTTGGTTTTGGCCCACCACTAGCCAGGAATGACAGATGTCTCGTCAGTCTGACATACCTCATTCGACCCGCCTCAGGCCAGGACTAGTTAGACCATTTGTCTTGACAACCCCTTTGACATGCCTTCAGGTCAGGACCAGCATACCCACTACTCAAGTATGATAGCCCTTTGGCACTCTCGCCAGGACACCCAGACTATAGCGGGTCTGGTCACCCTATGACAGTAGAGTCCCGTCAGTCAAACTGTCCCGAACCCGGATTTGACCACTGTGGTCGGGAACCGGCTCACCCACCAGTTTTAGGCCAAGGGCGCTGGCTGCCTCGCCCAGATTTTTGAACGTGGGACCCGGTCTAACCACAGTTCCAGGCTCTGGCGAACCTCACTGGATTGCATCCTCGAACTGCGATAGGGTTCCAGCTGACCCCTTTCGACCTCACAGGCCAGACCCCCCGAGTCTTAGCCTCAGTCGACTACGGAATTCGACACTCGCGTCGAGGACCTGCTGACCCAACCAGATTGCAACCTACTACGGTAAGGCTCTGGCTGGCCCCGACAATCAATGCATCTTTAGGTTAGAGAAGAAAATCCCAGGCACAGACAATCAGGCAAGCATATCATAGCCCACATGCAGACTGCCCATGCCCCATAACAGGACAAACATTTCTCAAGAGACGTCACTTCAGTCTCAAGAGGTACTGAACATTAAAATGATAACTAACATCAAACCCTTACAAGAGACCTCCCTTCAGCCTCAAGAAAAATGCTTAGTGCTGGCCCTAGAGAGGTCCCTTCCCTCAGCTGGGAATTTCTTTTCCAAGAGACGTCCCGTCAGTCCCAAGGAAATGCTGAAATGTTGATCTCAGAGAGGTCCCTTCCCTCATCTGAGTGAAGACAGACAA